GCTAACGCTAATATAGAGAAAACATGTATTGGAGTGAGAGTTGGAAAAATAAACACCATTGAGAACTTTCAAATTACATGTGGCTCCAAAAGTCAAGAAATACTTGATCAAATCAAAATATAGAATGATGACAAGAGATTCTATACCACAACCTATAATTATTTTCCTCAAAAGAGAAAGAAAACAAGGAACCACCAAATTCTGTAAATTGAACAAAACATATGCAAGCATTAAAGTTTCCAATTAAAAAAACTTCACAATTGTCTTGATATTTGAGAACATCTCCCATAGGAAAATGGAATGATTGATTTTGATTGCAAGTGCTTGTAGAGTAGATGTGCATGGATAATGTTGCAAAGTAACAAACTGTCAAATAACTCCAATATGCTCCAATCAATCCAAGACAAAATCAATGATATTGTCTTCCAATATTTTGATCTTCCAAATGTATCATAGGAAGAAATTCAAATCTCATAAATGTAGCAATGACTCCAAAGACTTTGTCTGTTAGTCAATTTTCATTGTTTCAAGTAAATTTCACCAAGGTTATCCTTATATCTCTCTAAAAGCATTGTTCTCATGATTTCAAATCTCCACAATGTTGATGATGTCCGCATCTTCCAAATTAGATGTGTATTCACATACTTTGTTGTAGATAGACATCTTATGTTACATATTAACAACCTCAATCCTTTAAATTGCTAAGGTGATGATTGGCTTCTCCATTGAATAATAATATTTTGATTATCACGTAGATAAGTTTTAAAATTGTTGCTTGAGCTTTTTGACTTTTGTAAGCTCCTTACTCCTTCCTTCAATTTGTAGAGGTGTAAATCAAGATCTAACCAAATACTCCATCTCTTGAAAATAACCTTGCTAGCTATGGTAATATCTAGTTGAGCTTGATCAACAAACTTAACAATAATGGCAAGAGGTTGGGCTCATTAGTTTCCAATTCAAAAAGCTTGAACCAAATCTGGATTATGAACCTGGAATTTTTTAGCCAAGAACTTGATGACAACACTCTTCACCTATTCATTCTCGTATTCATGTAGACTAGAAATTTTCACATTCTTTCCACGAGAAAATTGATTTGACACTTCAGTCTCTTGTTATTGACAAAAAAAGATAGACTTTGTAGCTTTCAACCACTTACTGCAGTTCAAGAATAAAAAGTTGAAGCTTGATAAACAACCTTCTTTTGAATGTGTTTAACAGATCTAGAAATGTCAAACATGATAGAACTACTATACTTCATCGCATTCTCCAAACTTTTGTGTGATACCTTTAATTTGCAAATTTGATTATGTGTAGCAACCAAGACAACATTTTGTAACTTGAATTCTTGGCGGAGCAGTTTCAATTCTTCCAAAATCGTTTGCTGAAGATTAAATATGTTGTTTTGAGAAGCCATCATGTACCCAACTTTGCAAAGTTTTACTCTCCGTTGTAACTAAAAATTGTCAAGCTAGTGAATACTACAAGCTTTTTCCATCCAACAAAATTTTAGCTCCAAATGACACTCTAGCGCAAAGTTATGGCTAACGCAACATCTAGCTTCCATAACCTAAATTCAAAGTTCTAAATTTGACAACTTCTTCAAAGCAACTCTGTTGTAACTTAATCTTTTCAGGCATGTGAGCTCGGACGAACTTAACAATCCTACAAAATCTGAGTTTTATTTGACACTCCAATGCAAAGGTATGGCTACCACAAAATCTAGCCTCCTCAACCTAAACTTAAAGATCCAAATTTGATAACTTCTTCAAACCAACTCTATTCTGCTTAAATCTTTGCAAGCATGTGCGTCCAGCCGAATTCAACAACGACACAATATCTCAACTTTATTTGAGACTTGAATGCAAAATTATGACTACCGCAACATCCAGCTTCCATAACCTGGAATCGAAGAAAAAATTAACATTTGTTGTGGCTTAAAATGATAAAAATTTTGTTGAATATTATCCGTATATTTTGATGATGGATATGTATGGATTGGTGAAATTTTTGTTAGTCTTTAGTTACATATCTTCATGTTGATTTTCTATCAATTGATATTAATGTATTGTTTTGCAAAACCAATGTTGGCGTTGATGCATATGCTAAAGCCTGATTCTTAAATAGCAAATTTGATAATTGTTAAATGAAAATGGTATTTTAACAATAATAATTAACACTTACATGCAATAATGGATGATGATGTTGAAAGTAAGTTTTTTTCAGAAAACAATTGTGTAAATTTGATTAATAATAAAATAATTTTTAAAAATATATCACAAGCATGGTTGATAGAAAAATTAATTATTGATCAATTTTTTATTATATAGAAATTTTCATAAAATCAAAAAATATGATTCTTTTGTTCCTCATCAAATGAACATTTTTTTCACATGAATGTTTTGACAAAAAAATTTTATATGACTTTATCATTTTCTTTATTTTTTAAATTTCTTTATGAATATTTGTCAAATAATATTTGTAGACACCAAGCAAAAAATAGATCTAACTTAAGAATAAAGCTAAACAACAAAATTTTATGAAGAAAATTCAAACATTGAATTGATTTTCATGAATGATGACAAATTTTTTCTAGGTTTGTGAAGTTATTGTGTCAACATGACTATTAAATTCATTTATAGATTTTGTTTTGATTTCATGAAGTTCAAATACAAAATAGTGAAAATAATTTATACATTTAGTTTTGAAATATAACATGCAAGCAAAGCTATAACTTTCATAATTTATTGATTAAATGTATTTCAAGCATATGATCTCAATCATGAACTTAGGAAAACACAAATAAGATTAAATAGCATGAAAGAGTAAGAACGCGCGTATTCACAAATGTAACGTGATTCAACTTTGAGATGACTATGTTCACGGGGAAAGTGCACACGAGTGAGTTCATTACAATATGTCAAAAGCAACGGTGGTACAATGCAAAAATCTTGTAGTATATATATCCAACACCAACAATCAATCTAGTTATAAATAGCTAAAATTTAAAAATATTTATTAATTGAAGATAATTTTAATATTTATATAAATTGATTATGTTGTATCTTACAACAAATAAAATCATGAATAGCAAGATGAACTGTCTTGATATTATTTTTATTTGAAATGAAAAAATTATACAAAGATTAAGTTAATTAAAATTGATATTTTTTTTCATTTCAAATGCAAAAAACCATACAAAGATTAGAATAGTTAACTTTTATGATATATTCAATATTGCTCATTCATTGATCGCCAATGTTTTTTTTAAATTATAATTTTGTTGTATTATTTTGCAAGTTTGCATAATGAGCCATATTGAAATTTATGAATACTTTTGAAAGTTTTAAATATGAAGCAAATATCTCAGCTAAATAATGCTTAAACCCATTAGAACCTAAACTGTTTAATGGAATTCATCAAGTTTTGTTTTATCACATGGAATCCTAATGACGGTCCACCGTCGTCAAGTTCTAATACGTGTTAGTGTAAATATATGATGGAAGTTTTAGTGGACCTCTACCATCGCAAATTGCTCATAAAAATATCGACAAGAATGGACTAGATGAAACAGCAGGAAGAAGTACTCGAAGAAGATCGAGTCTCATTCTTTTGATCTTCGTCATTCAATAATCCCATATGAGTTAGTCTGTTAGAGTTTTGCTGTCTCTGAGATACAAGGTGAAAAAATTGATGAAGAATTCAAGATTTTGTTTCAACATGAATAAAATATTCTTTTAGTGTGAAAGTTCAATATTTTTCAGAATATTACATATTATATTCTAAATATTAATTTTGAAAAATAGAATAATTTATTTGGAGTAAAATGATAATTCACAAAACATGAAAAAAATCAATAATATTTTCGTCAATGTGCTATAAGAAAAATGTATTTTTTCTTCAAGATTCAATTGAATTATGTTTAAGATCAAAAAGTATGTAATAAAATGTATATATACATACATACACACATATTTACTTATAAAAATTCATAAAGTATTTCATTGAACTTAACGTTTAATTTATAAAAGAAACTTACAAATCATTTATATACATATGGATATTAATTGGATTGTACAAATCACAATTGTTAATTCAATTTTAGATACATACACATACATTTTGAAAGTATTACTAAATTGTATCAACTTCACTAGTATGTATAAATGTGTGGCCAACAAGGTCAAACATTATGAAACCATAAAAAAATGAATAACATTATCATGTGGTAGATCAATGTGATTTGGAGAATTTATATGATTAGTTTTTTCAAAGAATATCTAGAAGTTGAACATGTTGACTTCCCAATATAAATTTGAATCATATCATAGTTTAGTTTATTAGCAACCTGTCAACTCATCATGCTCATGACCCAAAGTATTTGAATGCTAAAATTTTAATAGAATCATATCCATTTCAAGAGAAATCATGGTATGTTACTCCTTGTCATGAATAATGTAACCACAAAAGCTTCTATAGGCACTCATCCCAAAAAGAAACGACCTATTTTTCCTATAACCTCGTCTTGTCTTAAATGACAATAAGACACGAGCCTACTCACCATACAATACACTTGCATAGCTTCTTCAATATCGACGCACATAATCGAACCACGCTCAAACTTCAATAAATCCTAAGAAAAAATAGTCTGAGATGCGTGAAAGAAATATTAATCTTGATTTGTATTTCGACGAGATAAATGTCAGCGATTTCAAGGTAGAGAAGTCGGGAGTTCGAATCGTTGGGGGTGAAATTTATGTTACATCCGGATCGTAAACACGAACAATAAAAAACGATGGTCTGCAAGCGTGTCCAACACGTTTGCCAAATTAATTCGAAGTGGCGTTTTGGGGTGAAAAGGAAAATGGCAGAAAGGAAGGATGGGAAGCGTTTTGCATTGAGACCTTTGCCACGTACATGCCACGTAGACCTCGAGACATGGAGACCTTCGAGAAACAGAGCTCCGGTTCCATGTTGGCCGATTTGAACGTTGTGGCAGTGGAGGGAATCTTGGAGCGACGACAACACATTGCAGACAATTGTTCCTTCGCCGATTTTGAACGGCACTGGGGCACGCCCGTTCCTGCTATTGCTATGCTTGCAGAGCGTTCCACGTTCGCCGAGCTTCGATGCAATTCAAGAAATTCGGCAATCCATCAGGCGGCCTGTGATTTTGTTTCGGAAGAAATCTGCGTCGACGAGTTTTCATTCAAATCAGATGAGTGTATGACTGCGTCAAGAGCTGCGCAGTACCTCGAGAGTTTCGGCCATTCTTCAGAAGATGTGCGTTTTCCTTGTTGGCGTTGCCTCCAAAACCTGCAGTCACCAGGTCCGGTTTGAATTCGATGAAATTCAGTGCAAATCTTATATTTTCTGCTTGCAGTTGTTGCCCATTATTTATCATTTTCAGGTTCAAATCTCCGTCTCCATAGCATCGAAATTGCAGTGTATCAGAACATGGACGCAAAATGTCTGTAGAAATGCTTGTTTCCTGCTGGATGTTAGAAATCTGAACTCCTGATGTGCCTCGGTATCAATTGTAACATTGTATTTCACGTGTATCTCATCTTCAGTACTAGGCTTAAGGTTGCGGGCTAGGAACTGAACCGCGTGCCCATACTTGTTCTGCTTCCATGCATTTAAAGGCTTGCTGATTCACGACAGCATATAGGATTCTTTTAGGTTATATTCGTTCGACATGAGTAAGGTTGGATCCCGTGAACTGTTTAGTGGGGGGAGTTCTTGCGTCCTTCATTTGGACTTCCGCAGTCGACATACAAGGTATATGATGTCTAAATGCTAGGCTAGTCTTCAATTCGAAGCCAGCAATACATTTTTTGACCAGGGGTTGTCTATCGTTAATTGTTAATTAGAAAACTTTGCTTGAGTTTAACAAACTTCTTTTGCGATCCACAGACGAAAAAACAACGAATGGTTGTGAAAAATTTATGAGAAATTTGGAATGTCTTTGCGTAGGGAGTAGTTTTTCTGACAGAGGGTACAGTTAGTCATTGGTGGCAGTGACATTTCGCAAGACTAGTGGGCTGATTTGCTTTGCTTTTATGTAAACATGGATGGCCTTTGATGGTGGCCTTTTCATCTTTGCGAGTGGAGCTACTTTTGAGACGAATATCTATCCACATTGCTGTGCCTTCCCCTTATACAAACCTCTTCCTGTTTCCGTGATCTACAGGTGAAGCTGTCATGCGAAATGAAGGATCGGTTGCCCCTTGGCCTCACCTGGCGTTGACTCGATCCTCTCTCGGATACGGTCCGGGTAGATTTCCGTGTTCATAGAATTTTCTAAGCTTTAAATACTGAAGCGCAAGAATGATGCTTCGCACCCCACCGGGGAAGCAGAAACGTTCTTCCCCATCTACGTCACCGGTAGTAACAAAAATCAAGACAGTGCATCATTCTGCTTCTGTCGTAGAGGCAAGACCTACTTCATCACCTTCGAAAAAGCCCCGCCTACCCTTTGGCATTAATGTTGAAGAGCCTGATGAACCCTTTTCATTGCGCTCTTTGCGTAGAGGGGCCTCATGGGATATGGGCCAGGCAGATCCCTTTCATCAAGAACCGTATTCTGAAGAACTGGCCTTAAGTAAATTTCGAGAAGACCCTGGTTTTCCTGATTCCGAGACTGAAGAGGAAAACGAACGGGATCTGGACTGGGAGAACTTGCGTTGCAGTTACAAATGTCGCAATTTGGTAGGAGCTGCACTATCCCTTAATGACTCGTTATTCTTGGTCAGCGTTAGAATTTTTTTTCATTTGGCTTGTAGATTACTCTTTGCTTGTCAAATTAAGCAGCGTTCGAATCTCTTCTGTCAGCTTTCGCATTTCATAGGGTGTCGGTGAAGTTCATTTTTTGTAAATCATTGCAGGTGAAATCAGATGTCTTGACATCTCTAGATACAAGAGAGAAGGAGGTCGGAGAGTTGAAGGCCATGTTTCTGACCCTAAAAGGGGCCTACAGTTCTTCAGGTGGGTAACTGCAATACAGAATTCCTTCCTTCCTTCTTCTTAACCTGGTATGTGATGTTGGTTCTTGGTGCGATAAAGTATGGTTAAGTTTTTAATTCCTATACTGACATGACAACGCGTGGAACAGAGGAAGAGAAGAAGCGGTTAAAGAAGCGTGTGGAGGTGCTAGAACAGAATTTGTCTGCGGCAAATGAACGGGAGAAGGCATGGCATAAGCAACGTTTGCAAGAGTCTGAAAAGACAGAAGAGTTGATCAGGACTCATATGACTCGATGTGGCGAGTTGGAGGTGGGCATCGCTTGACACATCACTGGGATTTCTATTTTTGAAAGGCTGAATGTTGACGAGACGCAAGACGTCAGGCCCAAACTCGCTGACAATAAATAAGTCCAAGAAAGGTCAACTTTTGTGTGAAAGTCTTCGAAGATGGTGTTCTGGGTAAATGGATGGAAAAGTCTTCTTTTTGCCTATTTTATCTCTAGCTTCTCGGTCGGTCCGTGATGTTTATAGATTATTTCTCTTGTACCCAGTAAAACCATATATTCTTAGTAATACTTTGATGTTATTTCACAGGACTTGGTTCAGGAGCAAATGAGAAAGTGTGCTGAGGCAGAGGCTCAGTCCCAGGCTTTGGAAGCTCGAGCTATTGCTGCAGAGGAGGCTAAAGATAGGGCTGCTGAGAAGTCAGTAAGAGATATCAAGAGATATCAAGAGGAACTGGATAGGTTGCATGGGGACAGTGTGTACACAATTGGGAAAATGGATTCAGAGGTGAGTATCTAGACCAGGAAATAAAATGTCTGTAGTCATATGTATGAGATCTGCTGTAGATCTTTAAGCTCTTTTCTATCGGTTCTTTCGGCCGTGACTTCTTGATTCGTTCCCAGGTCGAAATAGAGAAACTGAGAGTGCATGGTGCGCAAGCCGAGGCTGAAAGATTACAGTTGGAACTTAAAGAAATGAAGACCAGTATGGATGAGGTAAAAATGGAGCCGGTTTTACTCTATTTGTCGCATTTTATGTTGAGAGCATTTTCAATCGTTGTATTTGATTTTGTTTTTTAATCTTCTTTTACAAATTATCTCCCGATAGTCTTAGGCCTTATGTATTTCCGAATAATGCTTGTGAAGAATTTGGTGGAGAAGCTGAAACTGGAACATAAGCTGCTTGATGTCGAGATACGGAACAACGCCATGCGAACCACATCACCGACAGAGGCGGACATGATGATTAAGCATCTGAAGGAGGAGCTTAGCCAATGTGTATAGTCCTTTCCCTGCACAAATTCGTGTTTGTTATCTCTCAATCTTGACAACATAGAAAGAAAATCTGATATTAGTGATGATGGTTCATAATAACGGACATATGCATTCGATGTTTGAGGTTCATCAATTGGAGCAAGTGCAATGCGACAATTGATGCCCTAAAGAGTATATGACGTCGAATAGGTTGTGTGGTCATATATCGCGCTAGTGATCTACAAAGACTTCCAGTTTTCATGGCTTGTTGGCTGGCCATTGGTTTGCTGTTTATTAAAGTAAGGACATAATTTCCCACTGACAGGTCTCGTCTTTCACGTCCGTGTAGTAATATAATCTATCTACAGAACATGTGGAAGGTTTCTTTAGCGCTAGTATTTGATTCTGAATCATGAGAAAGTTAATCTTATGTAATCTTGCAGGAAGTAGAGATTCGTGAAGCGAGGAAGCTCAAGCGTTTCTACTCTAACGTTGACCTTTTGAAAGAGCGGTTAGAAAGTGAGAAACTTCGTGCCGACAGGGCCGAGGCTGCTCTAACCAATTTAGCTGATCTAGAGTGGAAGGTGAAGGATATGGAAAATGAGTTATCTGCATGGAAAGAGATCACTTCGAAAATTCCCGGGGTCGAATCCCGGAATGACATCTTGCTGAAAGTGGCTGAACTTCAAAGGTATCGGGACTTGTAGCGGAATTCACCGTGTGCAGGAATTACTTCATTATATTATCGATTTGTGCCAACCATTGTTCGCACTCGGAATTGCCGAGTATAAATTTTTTTTGTATCCCGTCAGTCAGAACTTCTTGAACATTAATATGAAATTTGCGACGGTTTATATTACAGGGAAGTGGTCGCCGCCGGCGCTAAGGTAGGAGAACACAATGCGCAGGTGGTAAAACTCCAGACTGCACTTGAAATGGCTAAAAGCGCCAAAGATGAAGCTGAGTCTATTGCCAGTGCAGCTGAAGCTGAAGCTGTGGAAGCTGTTTTGAACCTGAAGCGAGCAGAGCGCAAGGTACTTAACCTTTTGGACGTAAATTTTCGAGTTTCAAACCTTATACATCTAGAGCTGACACTTATCAATTTGTGAAGACTGAGGACGGTCTTTATTGCAGCTTTTCCTGCTGTGTATGACAGGCAAATACCAGAGAGTGATTTTATAGCATCGAATGGGAGACCAAATCTAATATAGCTATCTCCACGTAGTTCAATATTCGCCTCCTGACTTTCTGGCACCTCAATTAATTCCTGACAGGTAGCTCTAATCACAAAGGAGCGAGACGGCTTGAAGGAGATTCTTGCTTCTTATGATGAAGAAGAAGCGGTGATAGCCAGTCATCAGAAGAGAAACCCATCTACTGCGTTGTCTAATCTTGGGACACCAAGTAAATCAAAAGATCTTCGAATTCAAGTGAGCAGGAACTGAAGTTTATGTGAATCTTTGTTATTTGCAGTTGATAACGGTTTTACTATTAGTACGCAGCTTATATGCTGCTAAACCTTGTCTTGAGTATTTCATGGTTTCCTTTTTGTAGCAATTGGAGGCAGCCCTTGTGGATGCTCAACAACATGCTAAACTCCTAGGTGAGGAGATAGAGAGAGGAAGTTCGGCTGCAACCGAGCAACGTCGCAGAGCGGAAACTTTGGCACTGGAGCTAGTGAAGGAGCAGGAGAAAATCAAATTAGTGGAACGCGAAGCCGAACAGCTCAGAGCCGAGGTGTCTGTTCTGGAAGCCAAGGTACAAATTAATTCCTTCTGACATTACTATGTATTGTACACGTCAGAAAGAGGACCTTTATCAGATTATTTCTTATCGTGGATTCTTCTTGCCCTTACTTTTGGAGTTCGCACATTTTTATTATGATATTTATCGACTATTTTTTTTCACTACTTGGTAATGATATGCTGGTTTGATCGAGAATAGTCTGGGAGTACGATATTGAAACTCAAAATGTGTATACGCTTATGTACTGTAGATGGGGAGAGGTGAATCAAACCCCTCGGCTACAAAAGTTCTTCACATGCTCATCAATCCCGAAGCTATGGCTCGTGGTGATATTGAAGTGCAGGCTTTGCGTGCCAAGTTACAGTTGCATGAGCGGCAATCTGGTGAGACTTACCCTATTGTGCTGTAAGACTTAATTCTTACCGTGAAGAGATCTATGATACCAAAAGTTTATATTTATCAACTGAGATTTTAACTACTCGCATCGAACTCAAATAATCTACTTACTTTAGCTTCTTGCATGTTCCATCTAACACTAAGCCATTAACACGAGCTGATTATTTTGCTACTCATGAAGATTGTCGCAGAGAAGAAGACTCAAAAAACGTTAGTAATGATCCAGAGAGTGTGATGATGCTGAAACAACGCGTGTCGGCTTTAGAGAAACGCGAAGTCAGGTGAGATTTAACTTGTCTTCTATCTGGTATGATGTCGTTGTAGTGCATATTGGCTCAGTGTCTCTCCCTAACTTCGTCCACGTTAGAAACATGGTTTGTGACGTTTTCTTATATGTTTTTTGAAAGCTTGGAGCCGTGATAAGTTATAGATATGAGGCATTGACCTAGGCCCTTAGCGACCCACTAAACTTGAACTCTGTTTTTGTCATGTTCTTTGAGCAGATATAGACAGGTGTTCGGCAACAAAATAGCTGTCTTCAGGGAAGCTTGTGGCCTCATCTTTGGATACAAGGTGATACAGTGATCAAGTTTATAGCCTCGTTTTGGGTTGGAATACTTGATGAAGACCTTAAGGATGACGATCTTCAAATCATTGAGGAGCTTTTTGTTTGGTGGAGGACATTTGTGTTGAACATGCCCAAATGTGTTGCGTTTGTAAATTCTCGTTCAGGTGCAAATGAATGAGGAGCAGGACTCATCTACAGGTGGTTCGATAACGCTGTTCACTTTGCGGTCAATTTATTCTTCTAGCGAGGAAGAACAGATACAATTCCAGTTTAAGGCTGGCAATTTGGAGATGATTGTACGTTCTTTCCCTGGTTTTAGACTGATTGTAGGACGTGATTTTGTCCTTCCACATGTGCTGTGCCATCCTCCTTGGACTGTTCTATCATTTTTTTTTAATCTGAGATTTGATTTAAAGGGAAGAATTCACTTCGATGGTGAGGAACCATAAAAGCTTGACAGTTAAATTTTCAAATATTCCTTCAATCAGTTTTGTACCAAAAGTCTATGCCTCTTCTAGAAGCCCTGTATATCTGTCAGGACTTCCACTGTCCCTTATTTGTCGACGTGATCTAATGTGCAGGCAAATGAGTATACTGCATCGCCAGAAATACAGCGACAGGTAATGACTCGAACTGAGTCTCGTACTTGTGTCCTTTTCAAAATTTGCAGAATAGTCCATTACGTTATTGATCTGGTTATTGTATGCTCGCAACGAGGAGTAATTGTCTCTTTTTCACTTTCCTGAACAAGTTTATTCTTCGCACATAGGTCACCACGTTTCTGAGGAACTTCAAGTCGATTCCAGCCTTTATCGCTAATCTTACAATGGAGCTTTTTAACAAGACTACTTTAGGCTAATTTGGAGAGGGTGCCCTTGTGGATCTCCCATGGTTATTTTGTAAAAATTTTGAACATTCTTAGCTGAAAGAGCTTACATTCGTTCTAGACTAGGCTTGTAACGGCTGTGACTTGTTGTAGTATAGTATGGATACCAGGTTAATCATTTGAGGACCTCTCCCCCCACCCCAGCTATTTTGCTCATCACGCGATGACGGCGCTCTCTCCAGTTTTATATGGAAACCTTCAATTGTCATCGAGAGTTTTTGTAGTCGGTCGATTATTAATTAAGGGTGATGAAGCTATTGCTTTCGTCCATGTTTGTTAAGTGACGTCCTGCTTATGAATTCACCCTCTGGAGGCCTTAGATTTTAACTGACTACAGGGGGAGTTCACCTGCACATAGTTGAGATAATTATGACTTGATTCCCGTATTGTGGGCGTGACTGATTGACAAAGAATTGGTATGTGTCTTAGTAAGTGCGACCTGGAAACCTCCTGTTGACATAGTTACTGCAGAGAGATCCGATATTCGGAAACCAATGAGTTTCCTATTTTTGAGTATGTTCATCATGGTACAGATCATGATGACCGGAAGCAACAGCTATATGGGTTCATTTGAGTTCGACGGAGAAAATGATACGGGTCATCCATTCTTACAGCACTGGTTCCAGGAGGAATTTCTCCACCTTTTTTACGAGGATGAAGAATTTCGGAACCAGGTGCTAAAATGCCTGCTGTCAAAAACACAGTTAGAAAGCACAGTTTCAATGACTATTGAGAAAAAGCCTCGCAGAACTTGGTTGAGAGATCTAGAGTGTGCCGGGTTGTTTCTGTCCTTATCAGAAGATGACGAGGCAGAAGACCAAGAAGGTTCAAACTGCAGCGATGATAAGGCCACTTCAGAATGCCTGAAGTATCGAGATAAATTCTCCCAATGCCCGGACCCAAGGTCGCACGAAACGAGCTCATATGGAAGTCCTCTCTGGAACTTCGTACATGACTTGCCAGTCATGTCGAAGTCCTTCACAGATGCTATCTGTCAGTACCCAGATCCAGCCGAGACTGGCAGCTCAACCGGGTCGCTCTGGAACATGCTCATGCAAGCTCCTGGCCAGGAGCTTCAGCTGGGTCAGAAACACGAGGATCTAGAGACGAGTCCGGGGAAGTCTTCTCGAGAAGAAAGGCGACCTTCGAGTCCCTCCAGCTGCTGGAAGGCGAACCCTCTCTACGGGATGAGGGCCGGATCGCCGGAGACATCTGGCTCAGAGACAGACGGATCATGTTCGGCCGCGGCTTGGCTGAAGAATGGCTCTGTTGAGCCCAAGAATCTTTGTACGAACATTGGGGTCTCGTGCATGCCCGGACCTTCGAGTTTGATGTTCTCGCCAAACCCGCTTGCAAGTCCCTACTGGGAGGACAAGAAGCTCCTTCAGTCTGAGGACTTGCAGGAGCTTCCTGACCGAACCAAGAGGGTCGACCCAGATCGCCCCCCGACACCTGCCTTCGGAGAGACCTCAGGCGCAACCTCAGCCCGCACATCTGGGACCCGGGACACCAGAGCAGCAGCTGCAGCATCTGCTGCGACGGGGTCACGGCACTCCCGCACTCGCGCTCTGATACGCATCTGGGACTCAGTTCTGAAGAAGATGTTCAAGCTGAAAGTGAGAGTTCGGTTCAGCCCTGCAAACCTCAGAAGCATCAAAGGAGAGACAGCCACCGTCACAAGTGACGCCCTGCGCGATCCCTTGCCTCGCCCGTGTGGCAAATTATACCAGATTTGATGGCTGGCTGCTTGTGGGGAATGGGGCAACACTTGGTTTTCACCGAGGCCGAGTTGACGGCACATTTATCGCCGTCCACCGCTAACATTCTTTCGCATGTGCTAACGGTTCGTTCTCGAGCAATTTGACATAATGTTAATTCTAACTCGTGTCGATATCTGTCAATATTTAAAGTAAGATCAAAACTGGTAATAAAATGAAAATTACTACGTTCATGGAAATTATCTTGATTTGGAGAAGGATCATTTCGAATCCGATAAAAGTTAGTGTTATCATTGACCATCATTTTTGATCTTGTGAAAAAATTTCACTGTCTTACTTTGTAGTATGTAGTTATTATTCAAATACTAAATCTGAATAGATGTGAACAATATTCAAAATACAATGAAGATGTTTGGCAATAGATGCAATTTAGATTGTACATAATTTCTTTATAGATGGAGTGATATGACATTTGACAATTTAGTTAATTCTTGAATTATTGATTATACATTTTGTGCCCATGTTATCATTATTCACCACCAGGTCATTTACACATATTCTTTAAAAGATTAAGAAATATTACAAATAAATTGCATATGTTATAATTAGTTTTTTGTAATTCTGATATTTGAAACACAATCTGAATGATTGATGGTTTAGACAGGCATGATTTTATATGCAGTCGCCTGCATCACCTAATTAACTTAATTTGATCGCATACGGCATGGTTAGTCTAGGGCGGGGTCCAAATGACAAAATTACCTAATTTAATTAATTTTATCGAGTAAGGCGTGGTTAGTGTAGGGCGGGGTCCAGATGACAACATCATATCGGCAAGACAAGTTGTGGTTTCCTCTTCAACATACTCACACAACACACAGTCTGTTTTCGGTCAGTTGGTATTGCAAACATTTTACTACGGATGAATTGCATGCTTCCAACTGCGTTGAAAAGAGAAGCAAGTGAGAAAAAGGAAGAGAGAGGGGGAAAAGCTAACTGCGAAAGGAGTTTCTGGAACTGATATCTAGACTTGCTGATGAATGTTTTGTGAAAGATATAGATTCGACTGTAAACAATTGAACTTGAGAAACAGCACCCAAGAACCACCCAAGTCTCGAGAAATTTCTTGGCCAAACAATTCTCTTTTATGTTTTTGGTCTATGTACTAAGTTGCAATTGTTCCATGTTTCATTTACCTTGTGATCTCGTTTCAGATACAGTGCCTGAACGGATCAAATTGCAAATATTACGTGAAGACTTATAAAAAGTTGTCATTTGTCAACCAAATTGTAAATCTCTTTGTAACCACTTACATAAACCAAAAGTCAAGTTTAGATATTGAATATCGTAGTGCATATTGAACTTGTAACCACCATTGACGTTAGAGCAGTGCCCAACGAGATAGAAAGCCAGTAATTTTACAGGAGTAGTTGAACGTTATAACCGTCTTTCTGAAAATCCACATTCTATAAAGTTTATCCAAATTAAAGTGCTGATAGATTTTCATACTCATTTTCATTACATGTCAAAAGAGGATTAGCCACAAAACAGTCTTCTTGACTGGTCCTTGGATTTTTTTGACTTTCACAAGCTTTCAACTTTTTTTATCTATTTGTTGTTCAGCTGGGAACACCAACTCAAAGACTTTTTGGAATTGAGAAAACACCTCTGAACATCTGTTAGGTTGCCCAGTCTCGAGTCAATTTCAGCTCACGAAGAAGAAGTAAATCTTATATGAGTCATATTCAAGTTGTTGATTTAGGCGGGACAAGTCATGGATATCTAGGTAATTTAGGCTTTGCAGCAAACGATAGCCTATATTAAGCATGCCTTCATGATTAGACATGTGCATAACAAACAATTGGAGAGCTTCATTCATAATTATACTAGATTTACGTCTCGTTTAAATTAACTAGTTGTGCAATGATGACCCGGGAATCGCGAATGTCTTAAACAACTAATTTTTTATGCAATATCTGGCAACATTTGTTGGCTATATGATATTACGTTATGATCATAAAGTTGAGCATCATGATCTTAAAGTCGACGAAAGTCATCAACTTTCAAATCTGTTTACGCCGCTTCGCCTCTGTCGCGAACTCTGACCTCCCTCGCTAACCCGCATGTTAGCTCGCGACAGCGGCCTGCGTGGTAGCCGGAGCGTCGGCCAGACGAACGCCAAGCTATGAGTAATGAACGGCCCCACAAGGCGAATCTTCCCCTCCCTCGTGGTCGGGCCAAACACGGTCGTAGTCGCGGTCACGGTCGACAGGTGGAACATAGTCGGTCAAGCCAACCGCGATTAGCGGCGCAATCACGGTCAACGGTCACTTGATGGCGATGGCAACAGTCCACAATTGACATTGACATCAACAGTGACGGTTGATAGTTGACGGTGACAATCAATGGTCCACAATTGACAATGACGGTGAGTCTAGGGTGTCGTGCGTATATGTATCGCCATACACTTTACATCGTTGACATGCTACTCACCGACATATATGCACACATACACACATATAAGACTCTAAAGCGTACATATTTAAATATATCACAACTCCATACACTTCTTTGAATCAACCTCCACGCGAAAGATCATGTCACGTAGGTTATAGGGTCGAAGACGACTCGAAGAACGTCAGTTCTTCGAGTCGAGCCTATTAGCGTTGGGAGTAGAGCGACTCCTCGTAAGCGTCGCCTTGGAGTATCTTCGGAATGGGTTGGGCTCAACTTATATATGTGACGGTGTTAGTGCCAGTGGGGTAATTAAGATCGATGTCTTTTCCAGTGGAAAAAAACACGTATTTTCACTCGAAGATTTTGTTTTTGTGACATTTCGCGATCATTGTCATAGTTTCAGGTTTCGGTTCTTTACTTTGTGGAATGATGTCGATGTTGTGAGAATATTTCTCAGTTGGGAAGAGTGGGACGACCAGGTGTAAAGCGCGGGTGCATGAGAGTTCTTCGAGTGAAAATACGTGTTTTTCTCCAGTGGAAAAACATAGTCGTCTTCGACCCTATACCTTACGTGACTATGAACTCTAGCTTGATGTCTAAATTTAGTATATATGCAAATACATGACAAGGGCAACGGTTGTGGATGACGGTGACGGTCGCGTGCGTAGTCAGTCGCGGGTGACAGTTACAATTAGTCACGGACGACGATAATGAACAATAGCGAATGTAGTCAATCACAGACGCAATTAGTGGCGGTGACGATGAGGAACAATCATGGATGATAGTGAGTCGTCGGCGACAAGGACGTATAGTCACGAACGATGATTAATCACGGATAATGGTCACATACAGTCACAATCTCAAGTATGGACGACACGTGGCAGGCAAACTAGACAGTTCACAAGACCTGGATCTACAACAACAATCTTCATGCTTTGGGAAATGCAGGCTTACATGCTAAGGGATCTAGTAGTCTGTATGTCATGTCTTTCCGTATTTAGTATTTTTTGCCGTTGACCTAGAATTACGAGTCGAAGAAGTTATAGAGTCAAGAGATTTGAAGAACGTTAAGTTCTTTGAGTCTTTGATGATACATTTCAGTGTGTACGCTCTCGTGTACTATGTGTGTGTTTGTGGGTGTGAATAACATGTCATTAATTTAGAGTGTATGACGATACATATTCGCACGACATGTAGGTATTTATTACTAGTGATATTTTTTTCAATAAAATCTAGATCATTGAAAGTTAAGGAGTGTTTGCACGCTCTCCGTATTAACAATAATTTTTTTTGGCCATGGATATGGTTGTGGAAGAGTTTGATCATTATGTTATCGATGATCAAGAAGTAGCACCGATTATGATGGAGTTCTTGAGCGCATAATTGAGCTAGTCAATCTTGATGATAGATTCTAATGATTGAGCTAGTCAAAATTAATTGTAAACTTAATCTAGTTGATGCATTGGTCAAAGTTATTTCTTTGAAGAGTTTCATGTGACATTGTGCTGTCATGTAGATTGTGTATGAATAACATAGGTAGAATTTGCTAACATAGTATTTTCAATTTTTTTTATTATATATCTACTCAATCTTGTGATGACTAGGGCTTAGTTTTAATTAATTTCTGTGTTAACAGGGTTCGTGTATTAGGTTTTTTTCTAGAACTTTCGGCGGAGTAATGATATAGGTTACAAGATTTTTGTTTCCTCTATACTAGCAAGTTTTTAGTTATTTTTTTAATCTTATTATTCTATTATGTTATGGCTACAAATTGGTTCTAGTTAACTCTCGTGTAAAGAGTAAAAATTGTGTTATGTTTTTGTCTAGAACTTTCCATAGAGTATTAATGTAAATTATAGAGGTTTTTTAACATGAGTTGAGGTGGAGATTGTTGAGGTTAATTCCAGTCAAGTAATATCTTGAAATCTTAGCTATAAATAGCTAGGATATGAAATCACATGGACTGGTATTAAGTACGCTAATTTCTGCCATATACATTGAATGTTTTGTGAATAAAGCATTGTGTGTTCTCGGTGGATGTAGCCCTTCATTTGAAATTAAAACCACTTTACATCTTGTTTTTACCGTGACTTGATTTTTTGTTTTATGTTTTCTCAATCAAAGTTAATATTAATGATTTTTGATAGTATACATGTTCAGCAATTTAAAAATATATTGAAAGTTGCTTAAATTGTTTTATAAAATTATAACTTCAAAATTTAATCTCATTTACTTTTTGGTGAATTTTGACATTTTATTAAATTTTTATTTTAGGATTAACTTTTGTTTCATAAAAGAATCTAGATTTTGGGTTTTTCAAAACATACTTTAAAATTCAAAACAAAGAAACATAATCAATTATCTTAACTTGTTATGTAATCTTTAATGATGATTTTGACTACACCATTATTTAAATTTTCATCACTCTTAATATTGACAAATTTCCTAAATTGATAATTATGTTAACATCATTATTTGATGTCATTTGATATATGTCTTGTCATAGTTTATTATTTTTTATTTTCATTGTTATTACATGACCTAGTTTTTGTTTTTCATTTATTTTTTAAGTAATAAATTAAATTTCTTATTATGATAATTATTATTAAAAAAATATTTTTCTTAAAATTTTTGGTTATATTTATTTTAACTTTCATGAAATTTACACTTTTTATCAACGTATTGTGTTTGATGTTTTGAAATATTTTATATGAGTAGTTTAGTAATTTGTTTAAAATTTCAAGATTTGATACTTCGTAACATCATTTTAACTCAAACATATTGTATTATCATTTCAA